TTCCTTTCCTTTCCTTTCCTTTCCTTTCCTTTCCTTTCCTTTCCTTTCCTTTCCTTTCCCCTTCCTCCTTTCCCTTCCTCTCCTTCCCTTCCCTTTGCCCCTGTACCTATGCCGCTCTTCCCCTTCCCTATTTCCCTGTCATCCTTATTTTCATAATCCGATCGTGTGAGCCACCTGCTTTCAAAGGGAAGCATCTCTGCTGCTTACCGCTTCCCGGAGACACAGCTTCTTCAGTTCCTCCAGGCGCTGGCGCAGCGTCTCCTCCAGGGCTTCTTGTCTGGATTTTAAGGCAGCCAGCATGTCTTTCTTGGCAGACTGAGAACTGTCGGACTCTTGAGAACCTGTTGGGGGACAACGGTGGCGTTAGTGCAGCTGACAGACCTCTGCAGCCAGCTGGATGGCTTTTGGACAACAAAACGGGACAACCAAACTGGACAGATATTGCATCGACTCAATTGAGCTGTGATGTTGGAGAAAGGGTCTTCTTTGGACCGCAAAGGTGACCAACAAGCCAGCATCAGAGTGTACAACACCAGGTATGTCACTGGGAGACAAACATCAGAAAAATCTCACTTACTTTGGCCATGTCACGCAAGGGAATTCACTGGAGAAAGCAATTAGGTTGGGAAGAGTTAGCAATAAAAGGAAACCAGGCGGCCAAAGACCAAGATAGTTGGACACCATGAAAGCTGAACCCGACCAGCGCATAGAACGACTCAAAGAAGCAGTGCAAGATCAGAAGATGTGGAGAGAGACCTGGCCCAGAGAAATGGCCAAGATTCGGCACAACCGAAACTTGGCACGGCAACTGGGTCTGTCTAATCTAGTGAGGGACCAGGGGAGACAGGAGAGCAGCCTTCCAATATTTGAGGGGCTGCCCCAGAGAGGAGGAGGAAGGGGGTCAAGCTATTTTCTAAAGCACCTGAAGGCCAGATGAGGAGTAACGGGTGGAAAACTGATCAAGGAGAGATTCAACCTAGAAATAAGGAGGAATTTTCTGACAGTGAGGACCATCAACCTGTGGAGCAGCTTGTGGCAGCTTCCTCACTTGAGACTTTCAAGAAGAGATTGGACTCCCATCTGTCAGAAATGGTGTAAGGTCTCCTGCTTGGGCAGGGGGCTGGACTAGAAGACCTCACAGGTCCCTTCCAGATCTATTCTGATATCATCATCATCATCATCGAGAAACTTCCTAACAGTGAGAACAAATAACCAGTGGGACAGCTTGCCTTCCAGAGGCTGTGGCTGCTCCATCACTGGAGGCTCTGAAGAAGAGATTGCACAGCCACTTGTCTGGAATAGTAGACAGCCTCCTCCTTGAGCTGTGGGCTGGACTAGAAGACCTCACAGGTCCCTTCCAGCTCTGTTCTGATCGATTGGTCACAAGCGTCCATGTCCCTTGACTCAAACTGGGTTTACAGTAGCGATCTGTGTCTATCACACACACCCATTACAATAACCGAAACAGGCCTTGTGTGCAAGTTGCACTTCCATGATTTAGGGACACCGTGGAGTATAGGAGGGCACCCTTCTTGGATGTGGTGCACATGGAAAACAAACCAGCACCTTCCAAGCATTCCCACAACCAACAGGAATGTGAGAATCCTGAAGGAGGCTAGATGTGCATTCCCCGATGACGTAAAAACGTTTTGTTTTTAGCAAAACACAGGGAAATTCCACAACTGAGATAGCAGGGCTTCTGTCAAGCTCAAAATAGGAAACAGGAAAACCGGAAGTCCATCAGCAGACCTCCAGGAAGGTCAGAATTCAGCAATATGGAGTTGTGATCCTTTGACATCAAAAAGTTTTGCAACTCTCTGCCAAACTGACATCAGCAAGACCCGGACGGGTTTTCAGCTCTAACTATATGTCTTTGCTAGCCTTCTTACTCACAGCCTCTCCATCTTCCCACGCCATGTTCAGAAATTATTAATTCACGTTGGATTTCTTTAGGGTTTCCTAATAGCAGGATTTCAAATGAAAACACCCACACGAGTTGACAAGGGTTTAACGATGTTGTAACGCTGAAGGGAAGGCATCTTTTTGTCCTACAAAGGTGCGTTAGGAGTGTGACAGCATGACAAAAGGGGGCTCACACACACACACAAACACACAAATCGATGGGTGTAGGCATTTACAAAATGTGATCTGTCAGTTCATTCTCTAAAGTGCCATTTTTCAGTCCTGGCAACTTTTAAGATGAATGGATTTCAATTCCCAGAATTCCCCAGTTGGCTGGGGAATTCTGGGAATTGAAGTTCCACACATCTTAAAGTAACCAAGGTTGAGAACATATTGCTTTAACTTCCGTACTGGTCCCACCACCCATTGCCTCAATGTTTAAACATCTGAATGCATTCCTGAATAAATTTGAGCTGTTGCTGTGTCTGCCGTTTTTAAAAACTTTTTTTAGCATGATTTGTAAAATGACAGCTTTCCGAGATTCGAAAAGGGATAGACAGGACAAGCTGATGATCAAACCTTCTATTCCTATTCTGCCATAAAATACACAGAATAATCTATATATTTGTTCTAATAGTTTTGATTTATTGAAAGATAACATTTATCAACTGGTTTGCAGCCTATCATATGAGGACCAGGTACATTTAGAAATGGATAGACAGATAGACTGATGGATGGATGATGCATGATAGAAGATAGATATTGATAGATAGATATATGATGCATGATAAAAGATAGATCCATAGAGATTGATAGATAATTGATAGACAGAGATGATGCGTGATAGAAGATAGATAAATAGATGATGCATGATAGCAGATAGATAGGTAGATGATGCATGATAGATAGAAGATTGATCAATAGAGATTGATAGATGATAGACAGATAGAGAGATGATGCATGATAAATAGAAGATAGATAGGTAGATGGGATGTAGATAGAGATACAAATACAGATTTAAAGGGGTGATATTTGTAATAGAAAAGAAAAACTGATGTTTACATTCCCCGCAAACTTTCTTAAAATGTTTTTTTTTGCCACTCATTTTGCCATCAACCAATCCCTAATTTCACTGTAGATTTTTTACTATCTCTCTGTCTACTTGCGAGAGCTAAGGGTTACTGAAGAAAGAATACCCGATAGCATGAGAGAGCTTTGGAGACCAGATGAAACAAACCTGCCTCTGGGGACGTGGACAGAACAATAGCCCAGAAAGAAGGAAACTATCCCAGCATCAGCCAGATGACATCACTACAGAGTCCAGATGTGCAACCCTCCCTGGCCTCTTTAATGGCGTTGTTATTTAAAGATGTGTTTTGTACACATCTCACGCCATGAGCAATTAATGCGGCCATCCAGGTGCGTCCCTTGCAGATTTCTAGCTGACTGAAACCTTAACGGAGTAGGACGGGACCTTGGAGGTCTTCTAGTCTAACCCCCTGCTCAGGCAGGAGACCCTATGCCATTCCAGACAAACGGATGTCCAATCTCTTCTCCGATCTCCAGACAAACTTCTGGTACCATTGGTGAATTGTTCTCACGGTTATGAAATTCACCCTTAGTTCCAGGTTCCTTCTCTCCTTGATGAGTTTCCATCCGTTGCTCCTTGTTGTGCCTTCAGGCGCCTTGGAGAATAGCTTGACCCCCTTCCTCCTCCTCTCTGGGGCAGCCCCTCAAATATTGGAAGACTGCTATCATGTCTCCCCTGGTCCTTCTCTTCGCTAGACTAGCCAGGCCCAGGTCCTGCAACTGTTGGAGCCTCCAGTCCCCTCATCATCCTGGTTGCTCTTCTCTGCACTCTTTCCAGAGTCTCAGCCTCGTGTTTATATCGTAGTGACCAAAACTGGACGCAGCACTCCAAGTGTGGCCTTACCAAGGCCTTATAAAGCAGTACCCCCCAGTGGTGGGACTCAACCGGTTTGCACCACTTCGGCCGAACCAGTTGTTAAATTGCTGGCTGGCCCCTGTAAGGAGTGCCTTATACGCCCTGTTTTGGCTCCCAGGTAAGTGCAGGGAGGCCCACTAGGCTGAAAACAGGGTGCGGAGGGTGTCATGTGGCCTCCCTTCATGGCGCTTTTTTGCTCTCGGGTGGGCGGGGGGCGTGCGGGAGACCGAGTGCTGCTTTGGCCACGTCCACCCAGCCGGCGATTAGGGCAGAGAACTGGTTGTTAAACTATTTGAATCCCGCCACTGGGAACATCCCTCTGGAAACCTCTGTTGAGTTGCTGGAGGTGGCAGCCCAGCAGAGGTGGGATTCAGCTGGTTCTGAAGAACGGGTAGCGTAAACGTTGAGTAGTTGGGAGAACCTGTGCCCTGCGCAGGAGAGCGGAGCTGGAAAGCAGGTTAGTGGGGTAGGGAGGGAGTGGGAATTTGCAGTATCCTTCCTCTTGCCATGCCCATCAAGCTAAGCCACACGCACGGAATTGGTGGTAAAAAATTTTTTTGAATCCCACCACTGATATAGATAGATGAAAGATAGACAGACAGACAGACAATATAGATGATAGATAGATATAGGTAGATATTCATTAACAGTAGACAGATAGAAATGATAGGTAGATATAGATCAGAGGTGGCATTCAGCTGGTTCAGACCAGATCCGGAGAACTGGTAGCAGAAATTTTGAACAATCCCATCTCTGACTGGCCCCGCCAACCCCATCTCTTCTCTGCCTCCCGATTGGCTGGGTCTCCTTTGGTTGCTCTGCACAGGAGAATGGAGCTGGAAAGCAGGTTAGTGGGATTGGAGAAGGAATGGGGATTTTGCAATAACCCTTTGCCACACTCACCAAGCCATGCCCACCAAGCCACACCATGCCCACCAAGCCACGCCCACAGAACCGGTAGTAAAAAATTTTTAAATCCCACCACTGGGTACATCCATCTGGAAACCTTTGTTGAATTGCTGGAGTTGGCAGCCCAGGGACTACTAGGTGCTTTTGCTCCGATTCCCCGCCCCAGGAAGTCACCGAGGAATGAAATGTCACCGCAAAAGAGCCAGTATCTCACAACCCTTGACTCACAAATAGGATTTCCTTCGCCACAGAGCAAAGGGCTGAGATAACGGCTGAGAGACCATCTGGACTTACTCAGCACCGGATACGCATATATTCATTCATTCTCTCCCTCTCTCTCTCTCTCTCTCTCTCTCTCTCTCTCTCTCTCTCTCTCGTGCTTGTTTGCAGCCTTGGCGACGGCACACAACCGGTGTTATTCATCAAGCGAGAGAGGCTTCCCGTGTATCAGGAAGTTCACGTCCAAGATTTGGCGATGAGAAACGGATCGCTCACTGGATAACACCCAGGAGGAAATTCCCACTGGGATACCGAGAGCCAGCTGAAATGTTAAGTGGGGCTTGCCTTGCAAAAAAACAAAACCCA